TGGAGAGTACATACTACTCCAGAGGAGATGTTCCAGGCTACTTTTAAATAGATATGCCGGCCGTAATTCTGAATGTATGGTTTGGTTCCCATCCTTGTAAACATTTAGGGTATTTTCATAGAAAAGGACAGCTGCAAAGTTTTCTGTTACAGCAAAAAGACTCATCTCCTCACCAAAACATAAGGAACATGTTAGAAAGAAAACTGAAAGTTTCCACTCTGATGAACAAAGGGATGAATTGGCTCTAAGTGGGAAAATGGTTCCATTGCTGAAATTCCTGTAACCCCATTCCTTTCTATAAGAACTTTGTATTTAAAGGATCAATTTTGGTTTTAGGTGGCCACCAAAAAGCCCGACTGTGACGTAGCACAGTAAAAGTCTATTTCATGGAACTATTCTATGCATGAGGGGGGGTGAATTTCAACTTGAGTTACCAGACTTCTTCTGGAAAAAAATCTCTTAAAATCAATGCAACTATTTTAGCTGTAACTAAAAGCAAGCACTTAATACACAGACACACAACACACACAACACGCGCACGCACGCACACACACACACACACACAAACTAGGATAGCAACCTAGACTGTATCTAAAACAAAGTGCAAAGCAATTAAACAAGCACATAAAAACAAAAACAGTTTTAGAATATTTCTAAAAATCCAGTGCAGGTTTTTTGTTTTTCTAAAAGAGAGGGAGGAAAAAAAAAAAAAACAACTGGCCACTACAAGTAAAACCAAGAATGCTGTGAAACAAGATAAGAAATAATTACTTTGGCTAAAACACCAATTCCGAATAATAATAGTGCTACACTCATTTTAAGGGCTTTTCTGTTGAGTCCTTAGAGAAATTATTTGCATTCCTCAGGTATTCTATTGTACAATTCAGATGAATAAAGACTTACAAATCATTCCTCCACTGCCAGTGAGAGACTTTGATCCAGTGAATACACTATTGTACTTTAACTATAATTGGCAAAAAAACCTGACAGTATGTAGAGCATCACAAGCTTAATAACAAAGGGGAATATCTCAGAGTGTTGACAGATGATCTTCATAATGCAGAAGCAGAGCTGGTACATTTAAGCAGTAAATGAGCATGGAGGTCTAAAGGTCTCTGAAGTGACTGACATCAGACCTGCCAGTGGCTAAGTACACAACTAGGGTACCATATCATCCCTTTAAAGGCAGGTTCTATTCTTGCCTGTCTCACTTCTTGACTTTCAATATGATTTCGGTAGCACAAATTACTCCATTTCCATAATATCAATATAGATCAAGTAAAGTAACAGAATTCAGGATGAAAACTTGATTTCTAATTAAATGTTGTTCTCTGCAGAACAGGCTACATCTAAAAATATGTACATACCAATACCATTCACAATAATGCCCAAAACACTAACTGAACTGGCCTAAGCAAGATAGGTAACTGAGTGGTCATTTAAGCATATCTAATTATCGCTGCAGTTTGACTTTTTTTTTTTTTAATTTATGCAAACTGCCCGATAGCAGAGGCTATCTGGGTGATTCATAATAAGACACACTAAAAATGCAATCTTAAAGGAATAAAAATCAAATTTAAATAACATAAAATGCAAAATAAAAACATAATGTAAGCTAGCAGTACAGAGGTGGGTTTCAGCAGGTTCTGACTAGTTCTGGAGAACCGGTAGTGGAAATTTTGAGTAGTTTGGAGAACCAGTAAATACCACCTCTGACTGGCCCTGCCCCCATCTATTCTCTGCCTCCTGAGTCCTAGCTAATCGGAAGGAAATGGGGATTTTGCAGTAACCTTCCCATGGAGTGGGGAGGGAATGGAGATTTTAGAGTATCTTTCCCCTGTCACGCCCACCAAGTTACGCCCACAGAACCGGTAGTAAAAAAAATTTAATCCCACCACTGTAGCAGTAGCATGTTGGTCATTCACAAACGTAGAATTAAAATACAATTAAAAGTCAATTCCTTAGGAGAACTCTTTTAACTCTAAGGATATCTTAATGTTGCCCTTGCTCAGTCTACCCAATCATCTTCCATAAAACCCCTTATGAAAAATAAAGCTTTGGTTCAGAGAGGAAAAGAAAACTAATCGAAAGGGCCTCTAAAGCTGAATTGGGAGGGGGGGTGGGAGGGGAAAGAAAGAGGAAAAGAGGGAGGGGGTAGCCTATGTAGTGAAGCATTTCTTGTCTTACAGTCTAGCACTTGCAGAATTCATCTATTGTATTCATTAAAATGAATTTCTGCAATTTTGCATTTGACATATTTAGCAGATCTTATCCAAAACAATGCTCATGCCAACCATATGGTCATTTCATCTTCAAGTACACTTCAGTGCCCTTGGTGGTCACTTTCTCACAAATGCCCTTTCTCTTCCAGCACCACAATGGTTTGGGTTTAGCACTCTTCCTAGACATCTGTTTTTTTAACTATGGATTGAGCAGTCTTCTGAAAAGAGCAGTAATCAATCCCATACTGCACAGAAGGTCAATTTAAATCAGAAAAAAAAAAAAAAAGAACTGGATTCTGAAAGCTGTGTATTGATGGTCTTGCCATCATAGGATACATTTCAGGTTTCCCACGGTTTAATGTGGGAATTTTTAAAATAGTTTTATTACTTTTGAGGACATCGCAGGAATGCTACTACTTCTGACTGACTGAGCCAACCCCCCCCCCCCAAAGACTTCTCTCATGCATTGAGCAGTGCCCTAGGGTCACTTACACCTTCTTGAAGGTAGCATGGCACTCTATTCTGTCCATGGCAGCACTTACAGCCATAAGGTTATTCAGTTAACCAATTGCAATTGCATTAATTCCAGAGGTCTGCTGTACTGTACCAATTTCTTGTCTTCTGTGGGCGGCGCCCATGAGGTCTGAATTAAAGCCCTTGGTTTCTCATTGTCAGCACACCGCTTGCTTACATAGCGCTTCTCAGGGATGGCGCTTGTTTGCCATCAGTGAGGCCTTCAGAGCCTTTCTTCTTCATTCTTTTGTTTCATTCGCTTAATAGGAACCTATGCCACCATTCCAACCAATTGTCTAAGCTTTTCTTACCCTTCCATGTCCCGTTCTACATGAGGAAGAATAAATAAGTAACTAATTTCTTTTTGGTGAGCTATGCTTTGGAAGGCAGAGAAACACAGCCAGGGCAATCCACCAATCCCTGTCTCTATATTGCCCTATATTAACAGGACACCTCTATTTAAAAGCCGAGCACCCTCTTTCCCATTATTTAAGGCAACAATTCCTGAGAGAAAAATCTACCCTACTTGTTCCTGAAGAGCGTATTGCTAGAAATAATACTGGATTCCACTGTAAAAAGATGATAAACTCCAGTGTTGGCTGACTTAACATTTAAAGGATAGATGCTCTGACTTAGTGGGTCCCACAGGATCCACTAAGTCAAGGGTTCCCAACCTTTTCTATACCCCGCACCCCCAGAACACTTCTTGCACCCCTTACAAAAGTAAATAATTATATGCATATAATTATGCATATACACTATAATTTTGAAACTTCTAAACCCACATTTTCATACCCCCTGGAATATCGTCTTGCACCAGTGGTGGGTTGCTCCCGGTTCTGTCCGGTTCTTTAGAACCGGTAGTAAAAGCGGTGGGAGGCTCTGCCCACCCACCCAGATGTCATAATTGACGATCTGCGCATGTGCAGAAGCTTCTGTGCATGTGCGCGCTCCCATTGCGAACCGGTAGTCAAGGTAAGTAGAACCCATCCCTGTCTTGCACCTCCAGGGGGTGCGAGCACCCCCGGTTGGGAACGCCTGCACTAAGTCAAAGAACTGTTAATGTACTCTTTCATAAACAGGAATATTTCAAATGTATACAGTGAGGAGCTATGCAACATGAGGACATATTTTGGTTCAGCTTAACCTTGTTTGGAGTTGAGCCAAAACATTTATTTTATTCCTTTGATATACAAAATATGAGAAAAAGCACCACAGACAAATAAGGGAAATGGGAAGGAAACAAGAAAAACAGCATGTTACGAACAAGAAATCATTAGGCCTAATTCCTAAACACATCATTAAACTTTACCTTTACGCGATAATATTGATCCATCTTTCCATCACAATAGAAAGCCCGTAAATAGAAAGCAAGCATACAATGACAATCCAAGAGTGCAAATATGGAGGCTCACACTACTTTTCCAACATTGTTTTTTCTTTATGTTTAACCCTATATTAGATGGCTCCATAATTCTGTATTACACTAATAGATTCCACAGTTTTGGTATATAATTCAAACCATATTCATTCAATACATATTAACCAAATGTGGATATTAAAATATTTTTAAAAAACCAGTATTTTAGAATACTGGCACAGGTTAATGTTATAGAAGTCAGTGTCTCTTCATAAATAATCCAGAACATTCACCTACAGACTATGGCTAAATTTAATAATATCTCCAAAAGTCCTGTGTGTGGATTTCATGGTTTTCCCCACTCTTGTACGCACATACTTATATATTTATTACTTTATCTAATGGCAAACCTAGATATATTTCACAGCAGAAGACAATCTGATTATGAAAGAAGATCCAGTCCATCCTCTTCCAATGAAAACTCTTGGATTTCTAACATCTCCTATGCTGGTCTAAAGGACCACCCATCTTCTCAATAACTTTTTGAATTTAGGAAAATGACTGAAATATATTTGTTCTTGTTCTGCTGCAGGAAACGTCTGTTGGATCAAAGAGCATTATACCACTCAGATATTTCAATATAGCTGATATTTTCTCAAATCATAGGAAATATTTCAAAATGTCAAACCTTTCTGGGCCAATAGAGCATGTTCTAGGGAATATATTGCAAGCAGATACAATAACAGGGATGCCATGACTTGTTTATTCACAAAACATTTGCCATGATGGGTATAGTCAGTCACAAAATACTCATTAATAGGAAAAAATATTCCACACACTCTTTCAAATCCTCCAGAAAACTGGCTATCACCCTAATTTACTTTTATATTGTTGTTTTTTTCTAGTGAGATGAGCATGGCTGCAGCTGTCCTTTTGGAAGAAATCTACAGGTATTTTTGGAAACAAAGATGTTATAGGCTGGTGATTGTGTTGCTGAATGCCCAATCTTATTTATTGAAAATGCAGATACTTAATTTTAAAAAAATGTAAGATGGGCCTCAGACGAGGGGTGTTAGGGCCCACTGGTGCCCACGGGTAATTATTTTGCTAAAAACTGAACCTTAATACCTAAATAGTTCAATATTGTCTAAGGGAAAATGAAGTATTTTAAGATTATACATTTAAAGGTTTCTCAAAAGCATAATAAGGGGAAAAGAACGGTAATAACATTAGTTTAAGACTAGGGTACAAGCAGAAGCTTTGTAATAGGGTCTTTTTCCCCACATAAGCAAATGCTCTTCATAAAAAAATTGCAGAGTGCAATATCTTGCAAAACTTTCATTAGGAAAGTCTTTATACTAAGAATCAATCCACCTTGGATCTTTATGTCTCCCCAGTATGGAAATAAAACTCTGCATTCAAATTTCACTCCACATACAGGAGAGATGAAAAGCTTATTACCTATTGAAATACTTTATTTTAGTAATGAATGGGATGTTTGTGTAGGAGGAAGGAGGAATTAAGCAACGGCAGAAATGTGTAGGAAGCCTTTTATTTCAGAAAATTAAAGTTGTTTAGCAGTACTTTCATGTGAAGCTCAGAACTGCGACTCTTGCCATACACAATCTGGAATGAATCTGTAATTCCATAACCAGCATTCAGTATGCCACCAAATCTTCTATAAAGTGGGCCTGTAGAAACATTCTGGATCTCCTGACAAAGGATGATATATAAAAGGTTTTCTCAAAATTTAAGAACTGTTCTATTTGAACATTAATTCAGATCTGTTTATGTAAACATGTCAATGTCGGAAGATGACAGAAAAGCAATCACTTTTCAAAAGTTAGACCAAATTGTACTGTAGCATTAAAAAGCACATTCTGATTAGAGACTGTTGCCAATCTAAAGTGGGATTTGCTCAATTCAAAACTGACATTAAAAAAAAAAAAAAATCAAATACCTGGCATTCCTAATCTTGCTTTAAGACATCATGAAAGAATTACAATTCCAGGGAGAAAGAAAGGGAGGGAGGGAGGGAGGAAAAAAGTGCAAGAAAAAAAAAGATGGAACAATAGAAAAGAAAAAAGATACTAAAGTGGCTAGAACCATCTATGGTTGGTGTGTGTGTGTGTGCGTGCATCCTATCTCATAGGAATATTTTTGGAGGCAAATTGGAGGTTGATATGCAACATATTTTGGAGAGGGCTATCATTCCTCTGGAAGAGCAGATTCATCATGCATTGAGGTCCTGAATGTATTTTAGGATGTATCTCCATAATGAGATAGGTGGCAAATAAATTTAGTAAAAAAATAAAATAAAATAAATAAATGAACAACTAAAATACTGAGAACAAATGGGGTGTCTCAATCAACTGAATAGCTATTAAAGCTGTTGCCATTAAAAAAAATACAGAAAGAAAAAGGGCTTGAATATAGAAGAAAGAAAACAGAAAGCACATATGTTATTTTTAAGATAATTTGGAAGTACTATCATAAAGTCATTAATGTACAGGTTGAAGAAGCAGGAGATTCTGCATGTATACATAGGAAATGCATTCAATTTATTTCAGTGGCCTTACATTCTTTAGTTTAGTCAATACACAATTAAAAATCTTGTCTGTTATAAACTTTTGTTGGAGCTCTTTAAACTGAATGATTAGCAGAAATAATGACCCTGTCAGACTTAATCACATTAAAATGTAGTTAACATCATTTAATTTTTTCCACTTAATATGCGAAAATTTCCAGTAGATTTGCAGTGAAGGCCATTGAAATTCCATTAGAACAAGAATAAAAATTTCAGGCATCATTTATTCAGAGAAGGAATAAAGGTCTTGATTGAAAACTGCTGATTCTTTCTATTAGAGAAACTAGGAATCATTGCATTGAATTGAACCTTTAGTTTTAGAAGTCCGGGGGATTACGTTCAGCAGGATAGAGCAATAAACTATAACTAATTTTAGAAATGATATGTCAGTTTTATACACTACAGTATAAGGTTTTCTACTTATTGAAAAATGCCCAGTAGAGCATTCCTATGGAAAACAGAATGAGTATTATATGGTATTATTTTATTTTTATTGTTCTTGATAGAGTCTTCCTGAACGTACCTATTTAGAAGTAAGCTGCATTAGCACAACTTAATGTGAATGTGAGCTTGGTTATATCCTCCAAAATGTCTGAAGAACTATTAGCTTATTTGACTTGTCCTACCATGATCTTTGTACTAATGACATCCAGGCTGGACTTGGGAAATATAAACTCTTCTGAGTGAAGCTTGACTTTTGCATGAATGTGTCCATGTAGCTTTTCTTGGCAACAATATGGAAATGGTTTATGCCACTGCTTTTATCCAAGATTTTGCTTTACTTCCCTGGAATTTTCTGATGGTCCTTATCCGATTATGGTACTAATCATACCTGATGCTCTTTAGTTTACTTAGCCCAGAGAAGACCATCCTGGTTTGCTGATGCAGAATGTCTCAAAAGCTGGTGGGGACTAAATGCCACTTTATCCCAGCTTGAGTTGCTTCCAAGCTCAATTGGGGCTTTTTTTTTTTGGCTTTGTTTTTAAGTCAAAATATTTCTAATGTACACTTCCCTTAGCACAACTGCTTTTTTTTCTAATGTGAAATATTTAAAAAGAAGGGGAAAGAGAGTGAGTTGGGGGAAGAAACACTTTAAATATTACAGAGAATAAACAGTGATATTCAAAAGAACAAGAACTTTCCTAGTGGATAAAAATCTGATTTTAAAATCAAAGGCTGATTTTGTTTTAGTGTCCATTCCATAACCATCACTTCCATAACTTTTGATGCTTTTTCTATTCCCTTTTCTTCCCCCTTTCTTTTACAGTCACACACACTATTTCCTTCTTCCTTCCCAAATATTGCTCCAAATATACTATATATTAGCACTCAGTTCTACCTCTCTCTCTCTCTTTTTGATTGCTCCCCTTGAGGAGCACCCGGAGGCTCCAACTGGCGCAGAGTGCGGCCGCGCGGGTGGTAATGGGAGCGACATGGCGTTCCCATGTAACACCTCTCCTGCGCGAGCTGCACTGGCTCCCGGTGGTCTTCCGGGTGCACTTCAAGGTTTTGGTTACCACCTTTAAAGCGCTCCATGGCTTAGGACCTGGGTACTTGCGGGACCGCCTACTACCACCAATAGCCTCCCACCGGCCGGTACGCTCCCATAGAGAGGGGCTCCTCCGGGTGCCGTCAGCCAAACAATGCCGACTGGCGGCCCCCAGGGGGAGAGCCTTCTCTGTGGGGGCACCTACTATCTGGAACGAGCTCCCCCCAGAGATACGGAGGATCCCGGATCTGCGCACCTTCCACCGCGCCTTAAAGACCTTACTATTTCACCAGGCCGGCCTGGCCTAATTTCCCCCCTCTTTTATAAAAGATTTTTAAAATTTTAAATATCTTTTAGTATTTATATATTCAATTTTAAATTGGTTTTAAAAGTTTGGGGTTTTAAATTTGTCGGGGCCAAAATTATTTAATTTGATTTTATTCTATTTTTTAAATTTTGTATTGTATGTGTTTTTATTGTTTGGCTGTGCACCGCCCTGAGTCCTTCGGGAGTAGGGCGGTATAGAAATCTAATAAATAATAATAATAATAATAATAATAATAATAATAATAATAATAATAATAATAATAATAATAATAATAATAATAATTGCTACTTAGCATGAATGACATGCTATTCAACTGCAGACCCATATGGCTATCTTAATCATTGAAATCCATCTGGATCTGAAGTGCTGCCTTTCTTCATCAACTTTCCTGAAGGATGTTCAAGGATTACCTATAATTGTACAGATACCCCAGAAACAATTCTTTAGTAGATATATCTCCTTCTTTTTATTTATTTATATTTTATTTATTTGTCAAGAACATATTAGGTGATATATATAAGTATAAGCATGAATTTAATACATAAAATAGCTACAAATAGAAGAAACATTAGGACAGGGACGGTAGGCACGCTGGTGCTCTTATGCATGCCCCTTACAGACCTCTTAGGAATGGAGTGAGGTCAACAGTAGCAAGTCTTAGATTATAATTTGGGGGGATTTGGGATGAAACCACAGAGTCAGGTAGTGCATTCCAGGCATTGACCACTTTGTTGCTGAAGTTTGGAGCGGTTCACTTTAAGTTTGTATCTATTGTGTGCTTGTGTATTGTTGAAGCTGAAGTAATCATTGACAGGTAGGACATTGTAGCAGATAATTTTATGAGCTACGCTTAGGTCATACTGAAGAAGGCATAGTTCTAAGTTTTCTAGGCCCAGAATTTCAAGTCTGGTGGCATAAGATACTTTGTTGCGAGCAGAGGAGTGGAGGACTCTTTTTGTGAAATATTTCTGGACACGTTCGATTGTATTAATGTCCGATATGCAGTGCGGGTTCCAGACAGATGAGCTGTATTTGAGAATTGGTCTAGCAAATGTTTTGTATGCTCTGGTTAGTAGTGTGATATTACCGGAGAAGAAACTATGCAAGATTAGGTTTACAACTCTTAATGGGGAAACCCTTCCATTACCAGGCATTGATAATATCTGTTAAGGACATGACCATTTAATGATTTAGTGAGCCAATAAGAATAAGGACTGAGTCTAATTTCATAGTTATATATTTCTGAGACAATTTTAAACAAAAAACACTGAACACCTGAATCCCTCTCCTCTCCAAGGGTAGGTTGAGGCGGATTACAAGATTTAACAATGGGCTGTTAAAAGCAGCTTAATTTTGGTGCCAGATCTTTAATGTTTATGGCTTTAATATCCGTGTTTCCCCAAAAATAAGAACTCGTCTTATTTTCTTTTCAGCCCCAAAATAAGCACCAGGTCTTATTTTCGGGGGATGTCTTACCCGCTTACCTTAGGACCACCGCAGCCACGCCTCCCACACCCCGACACCTGTCATGCCACTGCCTGACGTCTTCTGTGGCCGTGAGTGGCCAGATGCTGCGTGGCTCATTGCACCGGTGCTCCGCTCACAGGATGCCACGAGGCTCATCAGACCAGTGGCGCCGCTTGCGGCAGGAGGGTGCATGGTGCGTTGTGCACTTGCATGTGCGACCAGTGACACTGGGGGGATGAGTCTCGCAGCATCCTGCCATGAGCAGTGGCACCAGCACGACGAGCCTTGTGGTGTTCTGCACCTTTGTAGATTGCAGAAAAACTCCAGAGAATAAACAGTAGTGTTTGTTCTGCAGCTTTGCCAATTTTGCATTTAAAAAACAACTAAGATTATTTAAGAAACAGTAAATCAAATTTAGCAGAAATCTTTGCAAGCATCAATGATGATGTATATGAGTACTATTCTGTCTATCACCACCTCAAAATTACTAGAATTATTCTAGAACATTTTCAAAATTAGTCCAATATTATGATCAATGACATCCAAAGTGGCAGAAAAGTCCTGTAATAAAATACAATAATTCTGGATAAACTCAAGGCATATAACTAAGTCACAGTATCAATACTTGTAGAACTAAGCTAGAAATATTTGTTTATCCACAGCAACATTACATAAGTAATTTCACTCTTGAGTAATCTTGTTAGAAAGGAAAAAGATAAGAATGTTTTAATGACTAAGAATTTTCATTAGGAGTAGACATTTGAGACAAGGACCAAACTACTGCTTATTTGGCACCATTAAATGATTTCCTCTCAACTGAATAAAATTGGAAAAACTCAAGTCTGTATGATTGTCTTTCACTAGATTGCATTGGTATGATTCCAACTTGCAAGTGGACACCATTCAGGCTCTTAAATGTATGCTCCAATGAAGAGCTCAACTAAAAACAATTCAAACAAATACAAAATACAGGGCTTCCATACAGCTGAATTTAATTCTTTTTTTTTTCCTCTTAAGTGTTTAAAGCTGCGGGAAAAGAGCTAGCATCTCTATGACAACAGGGGTGGAGCAAGGCTGGATGGCCTGGAAACTGATACAATAAGTATATACACCTATATTGAAAAAGCGTTATGCAAGAGAATGCATATATTAATAAACTATTGCACTAATCTTTCCCACAAGAAAAGTTTTGTTTAAAATCTTATAAAACAGCACCATCCATAGAGAAAGAAATGACAAATGAATGTGTTGGTTTCACAAAAGGTAGACGAACGTGAGGTCTGATAACTACCAGAAGATGGATATGGAAGTGGGTGGGGAGGAAATTTACTTCTGTTTTATTAATTAGAGCAAGGCCTATGATTGTGCAGATATGTCAGAAATTGGAACACTTAGGCTAAAGAGTATTCCAGAACACCTGGTTTTTATTCTGAGGAACAACATTGCAATGAACAAGGAACTATTATAAGAAATGAATGCAGACAAACAGAATGGTTTGAATTAAGATAGATGATAGATAGTTAGTTAGACAGACAGACAGACAGACAGACAGACAGACAGACAGACAGTCAGTCAGTCAGTCAGTCAGTCAGTCAGTCAGTCAGTCAGTCAGTCAGTCAGTCAGTCATGGACGGACGGATGGATGGACACTAGCCTCATAAATATTCAATTTGCACACCAAATATAAGAACCAAATATAGGAACTGCAGGCTTGGAAGAGATAAAGCTGCAATCAAGGTTGGTGGTTAAAACATTAAGAATCTGAAATACACAAATGTCGCTATTAAAATTAATTTTAATGATGAAAGTAAACATGGAAGAGATTATTATTAAAGTAAAAATTAAAGGTGAAATTTTGGGAATGAAGTTAAATATTAAACAGGCAGGATATTGTCAACTAGAAATTTTGCATTTATAGTTGATGGTAAAGAAGTGTTGATATTATTTCTCCTGGGCTCAAGAACAGATTAAAACAAACAATGGGCTGAAGAAATAAAAAGAATAGGGAATGAGGCAATGGCAAACAGACTAGATAACAGAGTGATCTTCAATGACAGTGAAGATCAGAATAGCTCATATTCGTTTTTCTTTTCAGTGGATATCACTATAAAAGGTGAACACTAGGAAGCAGCAAGGGAAAAAAGGATGAACAGCTTCTGATTATTGGAGATGCTTCCCAAACTACTGTGAAACACTCCTTCAGTCTGACTGTCTCTTGAGGCAATGACTTCAAGCAGAAACCTCCATAGTTTTCAAATGCAATGCAATGAAAATGGATATGGATTAATAAAAGTATCATGGGGAAAGCAAAGGTGAGTGTACAGGATAAAAGAATGCAAGAATATATTAGGAAGAGCTCTATGTTTTTACTAATGATAAGCCTATCTTTAGTTCCCAGTCACTGGGAACTTAACCTGATGGCACCTAACCAGGCAAAGCTTCGTGAAAAAATAAAATAAGTCACCACCACAGAGGTGGTATTCAGCTGGTTCAGGCAAACCAGTAGCTCTGACAATCAGTTGGCCCCGCCCACCTGCCCCCGCTGTATCCTGTCCTTTATTTCCTGCTTTGTAGCTCATCTCAATCGTGTGGCACAGCTGATTTCCCCCCCCCCCTCGCTGTTCTACTTACCATTGCTGACTTGGAAGGTAAGCAGCTGAATGCTCCATTTTCAGCACTGCGCAAAAGCACCTTAGGCATGCGCGCTCACCAAACCAGTTGTTAAACTGGCAGCATCCCACCACCAGATAAAGTCTTGTATCAAGAGTGGTCATATTCCAGTCTTGCAAGATGACATATTTAAATTAAAGTCTATTTACACTTCTGTCTCTCTTCCCATCTGATCAGCAATCCACCACAACTAGTATAGCATATGTCAAATGTGTGAGGTAATGCTCCAGGAAATAACTTCTCTACCATTGGATCTGTGATTAAAGAAATGTCTTTAAATCATCTGTTTAACAATCCATGCATTACAATTTATCCTTTTGCCATTTATTTTGGAGAAAGTTTCTTCTAGTGCACACTGATCATCTGGAGGTTGAGTGGAAGCTTCTTCTTACTTTTAAAACCTTATTTCTTATGTAATATGTTGCTTTTTGCCTCCACTGAAGACCCCTGTTGAATTTCAATTCATATGTATTAATCTGGAAAAGTCAATTATATATGGATACCAGCTAAGTACCAGGTAAATTAAACCAGGTAGCATGTGGAGCAAAAAAGTCTTATCATCTGGCAAGTTAAGGTGTCAAGATGTATAAATATAGTTTAAAGATAGGTCTGAGACAAATGTCTCGTGAATTATATGCTATATAAAATAATGTACACCAACTTATTGCATCTATTTCTTAAAACAATTAAATTCTGAAAAGTGAAAAATATGTCTGGTTCAAAACTGGGAAAAAAATGAAAAGGCACGGCTTTCTTTTAATTGAAACTAACCAATAATTACATTCTCATCTCTAAAGAAGTGCCATATATATGATTAACATATAATGAAAGATTCGTGTATAATGAAAGATTAATAGCAGTTAATATCTTACCACATTTTGCTAAGATTCTAGTATACAACATAGATAAGCATTTTTGCTCAGGTTATTGCTAGATGCACTAATAGCAAACCATTATTGAAACATAAATTGTTTTATGTTTTTCAAGCGGATTTCATCACCTAAGAATTTAATCCACAAGTACCTTTTCTTCAAAATCAATCTTTGATGTAAGATTTTAAGGAAAATTACATATTGAGATCATGGACGGGAGTGTCATTTAAAGGAATTTACAAGTATCAGGCTTTGTCCTCAAAAAGTATTATGTTCCTGAACATACTGAAGGATATATCAGTCAAACAATAAATATACATTTCATGCAACCTATGTGAAAATTCAAATGATAGACAAGATGCATAAAACATATTTAATGCATCATCTGTATTGAGAAAAACAGCAACAGCTGATCAATAAATCATATATACTGATGGTCAATAAAATACAGTTTAAATAAACTTTCAATTTATCTTTCACAAACTTTAAAGTGATTATACTAGAGCAAAGAGTGGTAAAGATGTGCAATTACTGTAACTTTCATCCAATACAGAAACACGGCAAGAGATTACAGCAAAGTAAATTATAGCAAAGTATTTTCATACTTTCTGTTGATACATGAAAACCATACTGATCACTAACAAACCAATTTTTGTGATTAATACATTAACACAGATTATTGAAAGATTTAATGAAATCTTTTCTCCAAAGCACCACAATTACTATTAGCAATTTTCTATCATATAATAAAGAAAACATGTCTGAAGCGTATTATGCCCTCTAGAATCTGAAGGCATAATTTCAATATTAATACATCTTTCTCATTTCTCTTCCATCGGAAAAAATACCATTGAATTTATTGTATTATATAATTTATCAATTAATAGTCTTCAAATCAACCAAGTTTTTGGATCTTGTATAGAAACAGTTCTTGCTGGATGTCCTAATGCATCTTATTGTGAGTCCTCCACAAATAAAACTTCATGTATGAGCTCACGATGTGCTTTGCTGCTGGAAAGTCACAGGCTCTGTGGGAAGCTTTTTATCTTCTCAGCAGTTAGTTTCCTGAGAACATCAGTGCAGCTACTGTAGTTACCTGTAGATTACTTGTATTTTCTCACATCTGTGTCCAGCAATCTAAACCATGATGATAAAGGGTCATTAGGTTTTGAGTGAGGAAGGGGACGGACAGGACAATTTGCTCTGATAAGCTCCTTGTTGTGAGCTCCAGTTTAGAATGTGAAATGCGAGGTATGTATGCTATAACCTGGAACAAGGACAGCGTTTTTCCTAACACCAATTAAACTTATTCTACCTAAACATTTCTAAGCACTAGGACACAGGTCAGAATAGCTATTTTTCTTTTGCAATTAAATACTAGAGGATTGTGTCATGAGAAAAGGACATCAGTGGTCTATTAGTCACAAAAGAATTCAGGTACAATTACTAAGATAACTGCTGTTTTGAGCACAGCAAAGCAATTTCCCACAGTGGGACTTACAGTTCAATTTACCAGTTGGGCAAATATTTTGTGCTCTGTAGTGGTCTAGAGAGTTAACAGTTAAAGGTAATATTTGAGCTGTGTTATACTTGGGGGAGAAAACTTTCTTCAATCCAAATAGATTATTTAGATCCCACTCACTACCAATAGGTTCCATCCATGTCAAAGAAATGTCCTCTTTAACAAAACGAGTATTGATTCTAACTCGAGATTAATAAAAACGCTTGCTGTTGTGCAGAAGTCAAACTACTTTTCTCTCTCATATACTACAACATATAACAAACATGTTAGCTTTTGGTTACCTACAAAATTATTTTGTGAGAAACAAGTGTATGTTGAATAAAAAAAAACATTTCCTACTAAAAATAAAAATCTAGATGCAATATAAACATATTTATTTGGATATGCTTATATAGCAATAAGAGTATCGATGTGGGGAAAAATTATTTATTTATATCCTGCCTTTATTATTTTTACAAATAACTCACATCCAATACACCTTCCTCCTCCTATTTTCCCCACAACAACCACCCTGCAAAGTGAACTGGGCTAAAAGAGAATAAATGCCCCAAAGTTACCCATCTATGTGTACAATATATGTAGTATTTTAAAACTAATTAAAAACATCCTGTTGCTGAGATCTTTTGAAGGATGTCTGTATTATTTCCACTATAACAAAGTATTTCATACAATCGCTTAAAGCTGGAGAGTGATATCAACAAAATGGAGAAACTAAAAATTCCTAATTCCACTTGAAGCTCTTATTCCTCTTAAAATTTGCTTGAGTGCTGTTTGACCATGAGTACAGATTTCAACATTTAAGCCTCCTTTGGATAATTCATGTTTTATTGGGCAAATATAAGGCTGATCATGGCTAAGCCGTCTTTCTTTTCTGAACTAGCAACTATACGTAGTTCTTGATTTATGACCACAATTGAGCCCAAAATTTATGTTGGAAAGTGAAACATTTGTTAAGCGAGTTTTGCCCCATTTTACATCCTTTCTTGCCACAGTTGTCAAGTGAACCACTGCACTTGTTAATTTAGTAATGTAGTTGTTAAGTGACTCTGGTTTCCTCACTGACTTTGCTTGTCAGGTGGTCACAAAAGGGGATCACGTGAGCCCGGGATACTGCAACTGCCATAAATACGAACCAGTTGTCAAATATCTGAATTTTGATCATTTGACTACAGGGATGCTGCAATGTTTTAAGTGTGAAAAACAATCATAAGTCCCTTTTTTCCACCACCGTTGTAACTTTGAATAGTCACTAAATGAACTGTTGTAAATTGAGGACTACCCTGTACTTCAGAAAACTGTGGGCAGAATCAAACTAGCTTTCCTAAAGTAGCAAAAGGCTTCTATCAGCCACAAAGGGAGAAGATGAAACATTTCTACTCACTAAAATTTCATGTGTGTTGAAAATTTGTTGAGACGGTCCCCAAAATCCCAAATTGCCATTGCTTTGGAGTCAAGGACAGGGAGAAGAGAAGCTTTTCTACTGTGGCATCCACCCTTGGGAATAGCATTCCCCCAGAGATCTGATTGGCTTCAATTCTGTCAGCCTTTCCGCGGGGCCTGAAAGGCTTCATCTGTCAATGGGCTTGGGGATGTGAATGCGTGGCAGAGGCCACCCAATGGTTATCTCAATTTTATTTTAGAGGTTTTAGTTTTATCTTGCCTACAAGGTTATATGTGTTTTTTAATTTTTATTGTTCTATTTTTATGCTGTTTTTAATTATTGTTGGCCACTCAAAATCATGAATTTATGGTAGACAATCACATAAATTGAACAAGTAAATAATTTAGTAAGTAACCAGTATAGCAGGCAAGCAAGCAAGCAAGCAAGCAAGCAAGCAAGCAAGCAAGCAAGCAAGCAAGCAAGCAAGCAAGCAAGCAAGCAAGCAAGGAAACACGATACAGAAGGGGGTTTATAGCTGGGAATTATTACCTTATCAATGGAGTAATAATGCTGCCTAATTGTCAAGCACTTCTCCATTATGTTAACAGACTGAAATTAGTTGAATCCTATCAAAGCCGCTATATAGAGAATGCTTTTCCAAACGTCAGTGGATATATTGAAGACTAATTTATTACTTAATATTATTTTGTAGGAATTGTTAAAATCTTTA